ACAGACCCTACATGTGACATGTTAATGGGCAAAGCCAGTGAATTATCACAATCTAGGGCTGCCTCTGACTTGGACGCTATGGACACCACGCCACCTTCCCATTCCGTCCTCTTCCATTCCCCTCCAGTTTCGAAAATCAACTGCAGCCCATCTGACAGGGCAACTCATGGTCCCAGGAACCCACAGTCAAGTGACAGTACTGGCTGGATTCAAGCCCTTGCCACTTCCCACACCCATGCAGTGCAAGGATCTGGGGGACCTTTATACCAACCATCAAATCCAGCAGCCACAACTAGACCCACTTTGGGGAGCCCACATGGGCACCAACATGCCAGCTCCTCCACTCTGCGGAGCCCTGTAGTTCCATCACCAGCTATCACCCTACTTTATGGTACAGTCAACCCACCATCTTACTCAGAAGCTATGCACATCACCCCACCTTCCCAGTGTATCATCTTACAGCCTCTGCCCTCCTCTGTGAACAGCTACAGCGCACCTGACAGTGCACCTCCTGGTCCCAGGAATCCTCTGCCAAGTGGCAACATTGCCACTGCCACTGCCAATTCTCAAGCCCATGCAGTGCAGGATCCATGGACAACTTCATACCAACCATCAGACCCAGCAGCTACAAATCACCCCACTTTGGGGACCTCAGGTGGGCATCAGTATGCCAGCTCCTCCTCTCTGAGGAACCCTGTAGTTCCATCAGCACCGGTCAGTCTACCCTCTGTGGCAGCCCAGGCACCATCTGATTTGGAAGCTATGGACACTTCTCCATAGATATATCCCATCTTTCAGTCTCCTCCAGTTTCAAGTAGCTGACACCCTTGGGGGAAGTAGAGGAGCATTATAGAATCCTCTGCCACCTCTCCCTGGCCCGACAGTGAACTTGTGTTCCAAACCTCTGTCCAGTTTTTCAGGCTTAGTCCTTGCCTTAAACCTACCACTCTCTTCTCTTCCTCGTCTGTTTGCCTCATAGCCCTTATGCATCTTATATTTTTCCATATTATGTATATAAAAACCTCGTTATTTTTAATCTACCTGTGTTCACGTGTCATCTTGCTCTTTCTCCATTGTTGGTGGGAGTGCAGACTGGTGCAACCACTATGGAAATCAATACAGAGATACCTCAAAGAGCTGGGACTAGAGGTTCCATTTGACCCAGCCATCCCTCTGCTGGGTATCTTTCTAAAAGAATTAAAAGAATCATACCACAGTGATATATGCACACCTACGTTTATAGCAACACAGTTTGTAATAGCCAAAACTTGGAAACAGCCCATTTGCCAATCAGTTGGAAACTGGATAAAGATGTGGTTTTTCTATTAAATGGAATACTACTCAGCCATAAAGAATGAGAAATTAGATTCATTCATAGGAAAATGGATACATATTGAGGATATACTCAAGTGAAATACATAAATCACACATGTAAATACCAAATAGTTTCTCTGGTGTGAAAAACTATAATAGTACATAAGATCCTGATGAGATAATTGACCATGTGAAATAGGAAGAAAAGGGCTAAAGGTGTAGGGAAAGTGGGAAGGGTAGGGAAAGGTAATAAGGGAAAAGAAAAAAAATATGAGAAAATGGAAATAAAGTGTTTGTAAATGGGGAAGAGAGGAGGGGGTGAAGGGAGTGCAGTGACAAGGGGAAAAAAATAAGAAACAAGACCTGTCATGTAAAGGTACCAGATCCCAATAATGAATGTAATTGTACTGTATACCTAAAATGTACCAATAAACTCAATAAAAGAACTATGTGTGCGTGTATATATATATATATATATATATATATATATATACACACACACATATATACATATATACGTGTGTGTAAAAAAAAACCTCTTTATTGTCATAGAATTTTAAATTAAAACAATTGGAAAATAATTTTACTGGGTTAGGATTTAACCATATCTGCCTCACAAGAGCAAGGTCCTGAGTTCAATTCTGAGTACCAAAAAAAAATTTTTTTTAACCTAGTAGACACAAAAAATTAAAACTTAATATATAGTAAAACTTAACATATTATATAGTAAATGTGAAGAAATACTTTCTTTGTTGGTGAAAAAATAAACTGGGCTCAATATTCTGAATGGGCATTTCACATTATCCATTGAAATTTACAAGTTTTATCTGCTCATATGAGTAATTCAGTGTCCATAAATGTGCAAAGTAACTTGTACTTGGACACAAAGATGTACAAATAGGGATATTCATCACAGTATTTTTATAATAGCAAAAAATAGAACAAGATAAACACCTATTAAGATCTGCTAGGTCCAATCCAAAATTCATTCTTAGGGTGAAATAAAAAGAACTCTTAATTTTTGTGAATGATAAGTCCAAACCATCCTCCATCACCCCAGAAATCTACACAGAAATGTTTTATATCAGTTGCATACTTTAACGTACCAGCTCATGCACTGCTTATATCTCTGTCAGACAGATTTGGACCCTCCTGCCATCAACACCTCACAGTAATGATAATAATAATAATAACAATAACTGTTAAAATCCAATGCAGTTTTCAAAGCGAGTTAAGGAGGTGTTATGATCATTTCTGTTTATTAGATGATAATATTGAGACTAGGGTGATATGATTTGCCCTAAAACTTCCAATTCCTCACAGGATCCCACTATTTCAAAACTCTGTGTGTTTTGGAATTGTGGTAAAATTTTCAAGAAGCCAACCTGTCCACAAATAGTTCTAAAACAAAGAAGAAAAAAAGCTACACCAACAACCACTGCTGCTTATTTTTCTAGAGGGTGGGAATTGGAACAGGTTGTATCTCCCTAGGTCCCTCTTCACATGGGACAAATCTCAGCTCTCCTCTCCCGGGATCTGACAGGTAAGGCCGCAAAGGGCTTGAAAGTTACATGAACTTCCTTTGGACTTCACTCGCGCTCCTCCCACCCTACAGTATTTTATATTAAACTTTGTAACATAAGGAGATCATGCTATTTAAATTTAAGAACTGAAGGAGGGTTGGGTATTTTCAGTTCTGGGTCAGCAAACTTCAAAGGCCTATAATTAGGTTTACCGTTTTTTCTTAGTTTAATCATCAAAACCATGCATGAGAGTAAAGCTTGGATTACCTATTTTTCCCTTAAGATATGGATCTATTATAGACACAAAATCTCTTCCAGAATATTTTGTAAATACCTCCCAAACCTGCTGAGTTGGCCTAACAGTTTTTATTCTGATCCACCTCCTTAAACAAGCTTAATGGATGTCAAGCACAAAAGTATAAGGTAATTTTAATCCTTCACAGTTCCCCAATTGTCAAAAATGGCTTTTTATTTTCTAATAGTGTTTTTTCAAAGCACATTATCATATTTATGAAACAAGAAAAATGATAGCAACACTGAAAGATGTGTCTGGAACAAACCATGAAAGCTGTAGATAAAAAATCATCTCAAAGACCTATAATTTCTCTCCCAACAATTTGTCATTTTAAAGCTCTGCCAATGTGGAGCATGCACACCTGAATGTCCTAGAAAGTGCAGGAGTCTGGTAAGTAGGGGGAGATACAGGGTCATTCTCTCTTGGAGGCCCGGTTCCAAGCAACATGGAGAACCCAGATTGTAAATAACAATCAAGTGATTTTCTGTGGCTGTGAAAAGGAGTGGAATGATGCTCAGAGGAAGGAAGGAAGTGACTGTCCTTTTTGTGGGTTTCCATGGCTCGGTCTGGCCAGGAGCCTAGGATCCTGTGACATCACCCCTGTGTCCTCCTACCTGTAGCACACACTATCAGCCATGCCAGTGAGCTGACACAGTGTGTTTTTTATTTGTTTGGTTGGATTTTTGAGATAAGGTCTCACTACATAGTCTAGTATGGCCTTAAACTCACTAGGTAGCTGGGCTGAACATGAACTCAGGGCAGTCCTCCTGTGTCAGCCACACCAAGTGCTAGGATTGCAGGCATTCAGGTAGGTCTGCCTCACGTGGATTAGCACCTTTGATGAGTTTGTTTCAGATAAATTTATGGGAATTATTTTTATAAATTGTATAACAAACATGCTATGATAGCTACCTCTTTAGTGGATCCAATCTTAAAATTTTTCAGCAACAAATAAAGTGGCCAAATTTTAACCATCAAAGTAAAACGCCTCTGTATAATTCAATAGCAATGGCACCACTGGGTGGAAAAGGGAAATTTACCTCCCTGGCCATCCATAACTTTGATCTTCTGGTAATGATTTTGGATTTTATGGCCAAAAATAATGAATGATTATTATATAACAAATTACCCAATCTATAATAATTTATACACACTAGCTTTCTTATCACCGGGCACTCAGTGACTACACAGTCATCTAGGGTAGGTACCCAGTGTGCAGATAAAGCAGCCTCAGACTCAGTAAAAAGTGGGGGATCAAGGCCCCACTCTCCTCCATGGGGTGCATTTCTCCTTCCCAGCCCCAGAGTTCTACTCCACCCCGGCACGAGCTGGTCACCGCACAGCAGAACAGCCCCCAAGCGTCCTCTGCAATGTCCTCTGCCAGCCCGGCCTGGGAAGCCCTCGGGAAGATCAGGCTGACTCTGGTGCCCCATCCTGCTTGCTCTGTGCTATTTCTCCTGCTTTTTAGATGAAAATTCAGAGACTTTGAAATGATAGCACCCTATATCTCTCACGATGTTATACACTTGAGTTGGGTGTCAAACCTTTGCTTGTCTTCCCTCCACCATGCAGAGTAAAATACAGTTAAGGCCGGATTCGAATCAATGAGCATATTTCTGACTCTGGTCTGTCAGCTATGAGCTGTGTGCACTCAAGCCCCTGACAGCCTCAGTAGCACAGCTTCTGTAGTTGTTAATGAGATGATGTGTATGCCATAGCATCTGCAAAATGAGGGAGCAAGGCTGTACCATTGCACACCAAGTGCTTTCTTCTTTCTTCCCTCAGGCCTAAGGCAGGAACAGGTCTCTGAGTACGAGCCTCCCGGTGTCTAGAAATCTGGCATATGTCTCCTCTGTTGCTTTACTAACCTTGGTGACATAAGAGTGTGCTGTACCCTTCTTGTTGACACCTGGCTCAGCATTTAGCAGCAAGGGAGTCTTCATCCTGAAGTGACCACAAATTGATACAAAATTTAAGGTTTTATTATCAGGAGTAAAATGGTTAAAACCAGTGTCTTTCACCCTCAGTAAATGCTTTTTTCCGCATTTGAACTTGGACATCATGAATCTACCAAGTGAATGTACTCATGATTGACTCCAAGTTTTTATTCTTCTAGCAACATGTGTTACTTCCCTCTAACGAAGCTTTCGAGGAAAGTGCCTGGATGGATGCGGCCAGTGATATCCAGCTTCCAACCCCACCCCGGAGCACAGGGAGCTTCATCACCTGGCCCACTCAGAGGTGGCATCTGCAACAACAGCCAGCTGACCGTGCATGGAGCCCCAACTGCCAGACCAGCGGGCACGAGCTGCTCACCCCCAGAGACCCCCCTCAAGGGCAGCGGCTTGGCCTCATTCGGCGCCTCCTAACCCGTGTCTGTCTGGTGAAGTGAAGCCTATCTACACCCGCCTCCACCTGAACGCGGGGCTGGATCGGCTTTCGCACAAGACAGTCCACTGGATCATCCCCACCGCTGGACCCTGAACTACAGCCAGCACTCACTAGGTTGTCATCACCCCCGCAGCCTCTTCCTGCACGGCTCTGGTTTTATTAAGGTAAATACAAGGCTTCAAGGCAGTGAAGAGGCCGGGATGAACAAATGAGTGGAGAGCTTCCTTTCTTTGCCCACTCCCCAAAGTGCACGGTAAACTGGGAATCCATTCTGTGGGTGTGCACAGGGGCAGAGAGACGTGCTCTGAAATCTGTGTCACCGTCCTGGCGTTCAGCAGACAGACCCCTCTTGGGCAGAGAGAAGGACTTTCCTGTGCTGTGCGTGGGCTGCTCATTGTTTGCTTGTTGCTACAACAAAGCCCTTGAAAGAACTTCCTATAGGGCCGGCTCTCCAAGTCCCAGGTCCCCAGAACAGGTCCAGTCCTCCCCATGGCTGGCCAGCAACACCACATTCTGTGATAGTGCAGCAAAGCCTCATCTAGGAAAATGGGGAAGGGGGGTTTCATTTTGATCATTTTCAATCCAATCACCAGCCAGGGAGATCCTTGCTTTGCAAAAGAGATGTAAATAACTCGGTGGGCTCTCAGCAGCTGGAAAGCTGCAGGGTAGGGCTTGGATCTCAGCCTGACATCAAAGCCCCATCTGCAGCCCTCACCTATGTCACCACCTTTCCCAGGACCCGGCCAAGGGCCCACGGTGAGAGCCCATGCCATCTGAGGGAAGAAGTGGCCACACTGCAGACCACGGGGTTGCCCTGGAAAGGGATAAAACGCCATCACCGTGGACTCATCATGGCAATGCAGGTCAGCTACCAGTCAGCTGAGGAAGACGACCATCAGCAGAGGCTGCCAGGTGGGACCAGACAAGCCTGTCAATCATCTTCTGCTGTGTGGTAGGTAATCCACTCCACAGTTCAGTGGAATAAACAGTCCCATTTATCATCTCATGATCTGTGTTTTGGCTTAGGTTTCTCTGTTGTACACGCACACAGGCCCATCCAGAAGGAGGCTAGGAAGTGGCCAGGCACCAGGAGGACTCTCTTGGGGACCGGTGACTTGGTGCTGGCTGTTGGCTGGTGGATTCAGTCCTTTTCATGTGGACTTTACTCATGTGGCACATCTGTCTCAGGGCCTGGTCACATGTCCTGTCTAAGAGGATCCCCTTCCTTATGTCATCATGGCCAGTTCTGGGGCAGTGAAATTGGAAGCTGTCAACCCTCTTAAAGGCTGCTGCCAAAGCTGGCATCTGTACAGCTCTGCTACTTTCCACCGCTAAACCCAGTCACACCCAGCTCAGATTCAGCGACGGGAACGCACCCTGCAGATGAATACTGCATAACCTCACTCATACATAGAGGTAAAGACTGATTCCATAGGAGTGAACAGTATACTATAGTTAGCAAGGCAGGGGCAGAGGTGGGGATAGAGAGAGATTAGTGAGAGGGTACACGATGCTGCTAGCCCAGAGAAATAAGATGCCACTGCTCACTTCACACTCCCTGCACCTGCGTTGAGAGACTAGAGTCCAGTAGCACCTGTGGGTGCAGCTCAGGCTTGTGCTGCGTGAGGAGGTCAATACGAAAACGGAAGTAAGATCTGTGGCTCTGAGACAGCCAGACCGACTGGAGACAGCAGAAGGCCAGGGAAGGAGTCCCTGCATCAGCCTGGCCCAGGCTTCTGACTCATCCAGCAGACCCAGGCTCAGTGGTCACAGCTCTCCTGAAGCAACTCAGTCCCCAAACATCCCAGAGCCTACCAGCCCTGCACTTTTGGCTTGGTCTCCGCTCATCTGGGTATCTTCTGTGTGACTCCTTGGTGTGCCCTGGACAGTCATACACACTCCTTGGGCCTGTGCTTCAAGGTCTCTAGGACTCTCCCTCATCTCTAAAGGGAGACCATTGATATCCTGAGCCCACTCTTCACACCTCATGTTACATATAGTCACGGAATTCTTCAACATCCTAGCAAAACTGCCATAAGAATGTACCAAAAGGAAGTCCCTTTGATACAGCAAAAAGCAGTGGTTAGCATAAATTAGAAGGAAATCGAATAACTGACTTCTTATACCTTCTACTTTTATAATCATGTTCATATCTGCGTTTTTAATCATGTAACTTTAAGAAACTACCAATTGATTCAATTTACTCCCGAGTAAAAACAGGTATTATGTTGTGAGCGGCTGAATTTCAATTCCTATTACAAAATCAGCCATCAGTGGATAGCTTCTTGGTGCACAAATTTTTCTCTTTCTCTTATTATTGAAGCTCCTTGCCTTCCTTCTCACCATCAGTTCTATTAGTAAATTCTCTCTTCAGCTAAGCTTTGACCCATATACATCAATTAGTTTTTGTTAATAACATTCTCTATCCTTATAAAGAACAACTAGAATTCGTGTCTCCTTTAATAATGAAATAAAAGCTTAAGATCCATTTCCTACAGAAACAGATTTAAGTAATCAAAAGAAAATTCTGTGAAGTATTAGGAGTTGAACATAAGCTCGTTACCTGTGTCTCCAAGTTCATATAAGAGGAAGCCATCCATAGTAAGATAATTCTGAAACCTTTCCCTACTGATCCATGCTGACAGATCACCATCTTCAAACTCTTAAATACAAAACAAAGTGAATTAATTAGGACTGTAAGTCCTATGGTTATCATATTTATCATAGCAGATGTTAAGATATAACTTTAAGATGGTTATATTTTAACATGATAATATGTATAAAATACCTAATATAGGATAATCTTAAATCCTAAGAATAAAACATTTTAATTTTAGAAGTTTATTTTAATTAATGGGCATTATTGTGGGTTACCATAACATATTCCATACTTTTCTAATGAAATTATATACTTCAACATAATGGTAGCCTCTGTGTACTTCAGGAGCTGCACCTGAAGGACACAGAAAGTAATCTTTCTGTTCACCCAGTTGGTGTGATGAATGGCAAGGTGTGTACACCTGTGCAAAAGTGACAAATCGAAATTTTACCCACATAATGCTCCGTGCATTACATATTTATCACTGAGCATCATAGTGGGTAAAATATACCACTATCATTCTTCTCTTCTGCAAACATCTAATTTGCCATAATGGAATCCAAGTGTGGCACAATTAGCTGCCTGAGGAAACCAGGAACCTATCTGTTGATTCACCCACTTGGCAGATGAATGGCAAGGTGTGCAGGAACTCCAAAGCAGTAACAGGTGAATTTTACCCATGAAACGCTCATTGTTGAATTTCTTGCATTTAAGATTTGTTTTTAAAAAGTTTTTTGTTTTTTGTTTTTTTTTAATTTTTCTGGTAGAAGTAGCCCAGTTCATTACAATGGCACAGGAAAACCCTGGTTATTGAGGCTTTAGGCAGTATATGCCAAAAAAGCCTTCAAAATATGGTATAAAATGTATGTCGTGCTACATGGAAAGACATATACTTTCAACTGAGAAATTTATCCTGGAATTCATCCAGCAGGTCTTTACTAGTATAGCAATGAATCAAATGATGTTGTGAACAGACCTGTTGCTCCCATCTCCTAAACTAATCAGAATGTGACATTTGACGATTGGTTTACCAGTCAGTTTTTGATTAATGTTACATTTACTAACATAGCATAAGTTGACCAGGTAGGAATTGCATGCAAGAATGAAATAGAAATTCCAATGAAATTTCAAAACAGAGAATGGTATAGTACAATCACTGGATTTCAGAAAGATGTTAACACTGGCCTCGTAAATGACAAAACAAACAACAACAACAAGAAACTGGTACTGATGTCAACATTGTACCACGATGGAAAAACTGACAAAAAATTCTTGATGAAACTGAAGGGTAAGATAGTAACTTTTTATAACAAACCAAAAGAGGAGTAAATGTTGTTAATTAGTTATGCAACAACTATGTTACTCAAATGGTTGTTACTCAAATGGCCAATGGTTGTGTTTTACTTGATCCTAAACATGTGTGGCATGAAGTGTTCGATATTTACAAAGAAAATTACAAGTACAAAATACCACAAAAAAATGTTCTTAGAGAACTGGGACTGAAACTCATAAGAGATCACTTACAACGGAAAAAAACAAAATGTTTTTGGCCAGAGAACTATGCTAAAAAATGTAGAGCACACTGGTGAGCTCACAGAATAGGTGCAACATCACAAAGACCTACTGTGACAGGAAAACTAAAAAGATATTAGTTGTGCCCTACAAAAAAGGACAGGAAAACAGAACATAAATGCTATCAATGTAAACGATACCTGTGCACGGAACATGCAGTTTTCATGTGTGAAGACTGCCTTGGTTGTGACAATTGAAGTAAAGATTATTTCTGTGGTGTGGTGGACTTTTATTCGTATTTACATTGTAGATCACGTAAGTATTTATTTCTGATATTATCTTTTAGTTTCTATAAGCAAGTACACAGCTGATGTGAAAATGTTGATGTTTATTCTAAACACACAATACATATTAAGAATACTTTATTTTTATGCTCCTGTTAACTTCATATTGTGTAATATAGTAAGAGCATCCTGACAAAACAGCAAGATCAATGAGATGTCAAGTATGTTCTACAAAGAAGACAAGAAAGCAAAGGACATTTGCTGTCAGTGTAAGCCAGAAGTGTATATGGAACGTGCTGCTGACTTGTGTGAAGAATACCTTAGGTGTGATAACTGAAGTAAACACTGTTTTTGTTGTAGAGTTCTATCAGTATTTTCACTGTAGTTCACGTTGGAATTATTTGTTATTTTTTAGACTTTGAAAACAAAAAAAAAGTCCTTGTTGAAAACTGTAATGCTTTTTTATAATACTTAATTTTTAATTCTTAATTTTTAATATTTTTCCTTTTAAGTATTCAGTTTAATAATAAAACTGATAAAATTAAAATAAATAATTCATCAACAGATATACTTCTAAAGAATAGATACTTTGTATTCCCTTCATATGCTCCTTTAACTCAAAATTGCCATTATGCCCAATGAAACATATATATATGAATTAATATGTAAAGCAAATCTTTACTATAACATCATTAAAAATAGCAAGAAAAAATTTCAAAGAATCTAACTGAAGTATCCTAAATAAGAAACAACAGATATTGGTACAAATTCAGAAAAATGATTTACAAATTTTTTTTTTAATTGTTAGAAATTATTAAATTATAGTATGACAACTTTGTGAAAATTAAAGTGTGAAAAAGTAGTGACAAAGTAATAAAATAATAGCTAAACCAGATTGAAGGATTTACCTAGATAATGATACCATGGATAATATTACAGTATCTTTGCTTTTCTTTATCTTATGACATTTTTTTCCTTAATGTTATGGTTTATATCTACATGTACCCCCAAAGTCTCACACACTCATAGGTAGGGCTTTGGAAGGTGACTGGATCATGGGGGCTTGACACTTATCAGTGGTTGGCCCACTTATGAGTTCATAGCTAACTGTGATTTGGGAGGCTAAACTAGTTAGAGGAGTTGGGTCACTGGGGGAATGGCTTGGAAGGGAACATATCCCTTCTTCCTCTTTCGATTACTCTCTGGTACCTATCTGACATGCCTTCTCAACCTGTATCTCTTCCATCAAGCCACTTTGTTATGCTACTCTACCTTGAAATCAGCCAGCTACAGACTAAAACTTCTATAAACTGTGAGCCAAAATAAAACACTTCCTCCTTTAACTTGTGGGTTATCAGGTATTTTGTCTAGCAATTAGCAAGTAACTAAGACAATTTTTAACTTTTTCTCTTATATACAACTTATTCACACATATAAATCCATAGTACATTAGCTTTTTTCAAAATCAAACATTTCTTTGCAAAGCACACAAAAATGAAGCATTTAAAAGAAATATCTGATTAGAAATATAATGCTAAAGTATTTTTTAAAAATTACTAGGTTCCATGAAAAGAAACCAATGGAAAATGAATGTCTTTAAAGACTACAGATGTGTCTGGTTGAAGACTGGATCACACTGACCTCTTCCTTTCTTATTAGTACATGTTTATGGTACAAAGTGATTCCAGTCATTCTGGGGAGTTGATATATATACTTAACAAATCCCGAGTTTTCTTTGAAAGACTCTTTTTTTGGTACCGGGATTGAACTCAGGACCTTTTGTTTGTGAGGCTGAAAGCAGCACCACTGAGCTAAATCCCCAGCCACTAAATCCTGATTTTTTGAAAGACATGATATTATTTTCAAATTACCAAGCCTATAAAATCATTAATGTAATGGAAATCTAAAAGTATTTATGGGTTTTGACTTTCCAATTAGAAAAATAAACATAAAACTTGACAAAGTTGATTTTTGGTATACAATATTCACACCATGTCAAGAACAAGTTCTCTAAATATAGAAAGTGACAAACTTGAAACTCAGTAGAAAATATACTATCTCTACCATCCTGTGCCTTTACTGAAATGCTTCCAAAATAATTAACAATTTAAGTGTTAAAATAAACATTCAAAGTAAAGCCTCTGGTCTATGAAAATTTCAAGCAGGCAGGGAAGGTGGAGGGGTTGAAGGGAGAGAAGAGGAAAGGGTCAAAAATAAGAACCAAGATACATGATGTAATGGTACAAGTTCTCAATGATAAATATAAATGTACTGTGTACTAAAATGTACCAACAAAGAATTTAAGAGAAAAAAAAATGAATAAATGAGTAAGCCTATTATTCATGACTCCTTATCTAATATTTTCAGTTATCTCCTTTATAAAAATTTATCTGCCTTATTATTTTCTCAGATTACTGTGAGAATAAAATGACAATATGAAGTACACAGTATATCCACTAAATAATGACTATAAAACGTAGTTACTAATCTGTAGCATGAAATTAACTTTGGTTCAAATATTTAAAGACCATGAATATTAGAAATGCTTAAGTTTCACAACTATCAAAATAAATAAAAATGCTCCTTTTACTAAAACAAAGCAATCAAAATGTTTTTACTTAAACAAAGCAATCAAACGTTCTTCTGTTCATCTGATATAAGTAATTCAAGTTTAATGGCTCTCAACTAGTTCCTATTTCCTTTCCATTATATGGAATTTGAGGAGAAAAAGAACTGTACTCAAGAATATTCCTCAAGTGAATGGAATGTTCCCCATCTGTACACTCCAACATAGTAACCATAAGCTTTATTACTGGCTAGTGAGAACAAGAAACCGAATTTTTCACTAATTTGTAACTTCAAATGTTACTAAGACTAATGCTAGGTGGGACTTAACATTCACTTTCACCTTTGAATAGTTATGTGGTGTCCAACAGATGCCAAGTTTCACTATTTCCTTTGAAACTTAAAATATCTCCTGGTGTCCCTGTAACTTTGATGTACTGCCCTGGGGTACAGTCTGGGAACCAGGAGAGTAGATACCTGAAGATGTTAGGGAGTTATTAATTATCTTAGGTATTAAAGTAGGTCACAGTTATCTAAAAAACAAAGTCCACATTTTTAAAGAGAGTTATAATGAAGCACATATGGGTAGGTAGTGACAAAACACTATGGGATTTGCCGTAAAATATTTCAAAAAAGGACAGAAGCAAGTGTGGTTAAGTAAGATCTTGGTAAATATTTAACTTCAGTGATAGACATTTAGGATTTTATTATGTTATTCCCTTAAGATATACATTTGTTATCAAAGTAAAAATCTTAAAAAATGATCAAGGAGTTGCTTCAATGAACTGGTTTGTGACAGGGAGAAAGCGATGCAGCTAGAGAAAGGTAAATGGACCTTACATTATTGAAGGTGTTTTATTCATCATTTTGGGTGTCTGAAATGTCAAATTTTAAAAAATTAATTCTGAATATTTTAAGAAAAATGTATAAATCACATGTAAGAAAGGCAAATAATTTGATCCCCCCCAAAAAAACCCCACACCTCATTATAAGCAAAATTCAGATTAAAAGTATACTAGATGGAAAAACTAAAGTTGAAGGGTTAAAATAAAATTGCAGTCATTCAAGTGAAGAGAACTATAAGCAGTAGTAGATAAGCAGTAGCAGCACTTACTAAATCTTTTATAAACTCCTGCTATAAAAGATACAGATATTAATTTTAAAATATTTTATAGGAATTAAAACTGTGGAACTTACCATCATAAACAAAGTAAGTTTCATCTTTGAAAACAAGCATGGCAGGCATCTCTTTAAGTGTCACATACTGTAAACATCAACAGTTTAAATTTTAATTGGTAGCATTGATTTTAAAAACGATAGCCAAAACACACATACTAACAACAACAAAAGAAAAAAAAAAACCTTACAAATAGTTCAAAGGAGTACAGACAATCCTAAAGATTGGATCTAAATGCCTTTATGTATACCTCTGAACAATGCCCTATTTGCCGTGGCAAAAACCAGGGATTATTTTTAGAGCTACTAATAGACTTAAAGATAACATCATGGGAAGTAAAGGACGAAGGCATGCTAGAGGGAGAATATCAAAACTAATGCGTCAATAGGCCTTACTAGAGTTGACTCTTTTTACCCCTCACTAGTTGTATGATAAAGAGTCAAACACTTTACCTAGGAGAGTCTGCTTCCTCCTCTGTGAAATGAGGACACTGAACTCACTTACCTCACAGGGCAGCTGTATGCTATTTTATATAAGGGGGAGCACAGTTTAAATTATAAACTGCTTTTTAAACAACAATGGTCATCAGTAATAATGGATTTATTCAGAAAGTATCTGTTTGTTATAGCCATGTTATACTTAATTCAACAGTAAAATTACAATTAGGATCAGATCAAAAGACAAACCACTTGGGCTTGGGTAAGCCACTAAAAATTATGACATGGTCATAGGACTAATGAAAACAACAAATAAAGTGAAGCAGGCACATCTCAAGACATAAAAGAATACACGGTTATTTCATTGTACTACTACTAAAAAATGATGTATCACCACGAAAAATGAAGGCAGTCAGAAAGCCCTCAGGTAAGCCTCTATTATCAAGCATGCCCCTGTTCACCTGCTTTTGTCAACTCATCCACAAAGATGCCTCAGAAATACTTTTCATTGTTCAGTAATCTTTTATAGAACACAATTAAAGTCTGAAAAATGTGGAGCCACATTGTTCTACATTATCTTTCCTTTTCTCTCTTCTCACTTGCCTACACAAAAGATTTGTCTATGTTATTAGATTTTTCTATATGACATTCGTCTCCAGTCATCTTTTAAGTATTCTGAAGTCAGAAACGGTCCTAATTTGTCCTTACATATTCTTACTAAACCTATTGGAGTTTCTACAAACACTAGTTGTAAAGCTAATGGAGCTCTGATGTCTTAAGAAAGTGTCAGCACTCCAACCTGGGCAAACCTCAGGGTACTTCAGATGTGGATCAGTACAACATAAAATCTCATTTCTAATATTAAAATGTGGTACAATGGAGATGGGAGATAAAGTACTAGAAGTTCTAGATGTAGTCTCACTTCAGGCATTAGTCATATGTTGGCATTTCCTAACAGAGGTCTATAACTTTTTAGGGCAACTGTCTGAGAATCTGATAGTAAGCAAGACCCTACCTCCAGTCCATTTTTCCCTCCCTGCCAAAAGTAAATATACAAACATAAGATATTATGCAAAATAAGTTCTCTTAGACCAAAACAAGTAAGGCAAAATGGATTTAGGTTGAACAAAAATTGTCCAAGGCTTCTAC